GTTCGTTCAGAGGAAAAACCCTGCGAGATAAGATAAAGAAACAGTCAGTTTGTAGAAATTAAAAATACTACATCAGATATTCAGTAGATAGGCTGAAATTCAAGCCCCTCTGTTTTACCTGATTCAAGAGAAATGGCGGTGAGGAGTTCTTGAAGATGAACAGTGTGAGAGGGAAGTTGAGTCATGGGGGATAGATCTGGAAGTGCTCATTCGTCTAGTAAGAGTTTCAAAGGGGGATGGAGGGGAAAATAATCAAGAATAAATACTGCAGGTGATTTTGCATAGCTCTCCTTAAATTGACCAAGTCCTAGTGATGGATAATTAAAAACATGTCACATGTTCTGGAGACGTTTCACAATCCTGGAACAAAGGAAATTCTGAAAGCGACTGGAAGAGAAAAGCAAGTTACCCTCCAAGGAACAAGGACCAAACTGCATCTGATATCTGTAACTGGAAGAGAGAAGACCGTGAAAGTACTTTTTTCCCATGGGAAAAGGGTTTTGAACCTGACTTGTATACCTGGCTAATTCAGGGGTGAGGACAAAATAATAGTATTTTGAGGCTTGCACGAATTTAGAGTTTGCATTTATGAACTCCGTCTGATTTACCAGGGATGTATCTAGAAAGGCCAAATACACAAGGGAAGAAAATATATGAAAATGCTAAGCAAAAAGCAACAAAAATCCTTGTTTATTTCTAAATAAGACAGTGTTTAAAAAAATTATTCTTAAGGTAGGAGCGAAATGAAAAATAACAATTTGGAACAAAAGCCTAAATTTCAGCAGTGTGGTGAAAGTGACCAGATGGGGTTACTGTGTGCTGAGGTGTTTGGTTTTTTTTTTTACAATTTTTCCTTTTACTAAGAATTTTTTGTCAGGTTTTAATCTTGGGCTAAAAAGTTGTCAGTCTTGGGCTAGTCCTTTTAGTTGGGCTGGGGAAGGGAAAGTATAGATTTTGATTAATTGTAGATTTTAGTAGAGAAACGTATGTTTAAATATGACATTTTGAATGTTAGAGGTAATTGCTGTAAGACTAGAAGCAAGACCTGTAGTTTCTCTTAGAAGCTTTATTTGGTGCAAAGAAACCTCGCTCATCCTGTCTGTACAGATAAAGGGAGGAGGAGGAGCGGACGTGAAAACAGCGTTGCAAACAGAAGAGCAAAACAAAATGTTGAGAAGAGACAGGCGTGTTATTCACCAGAGCACAAGGTGACAAAGTTCCCTTAGTGAAGGTGAGAAAATAAAATCCATGCTGAAGGAAGGATCGTGTGTCTTCAGAATTGAATCATACAGGAGCCACTTTGAAAAGGGCCGCCCCGGCCAGATTCAAGTTCCTTGTAATGCTCGGAAGAGGGAGGGGAGCCCTGTGGACGACCACTGGAGGGGACCATGCCTTCTGAAGGTGACTCAGGGAGCATCCAGCGTCTGCCTCCTCAGGAGCAGCTGTAGCTTACAGGGGAACGCCACTAACGTGTGTAGACGGGATGTGTGACTGCTCTGAGCCTGCCGCTGGCCCCTTTTCTACCATCGTTGGCTAGGTTTCTGTTGGTTTTGTTGAGCGTCATGGTAGTAGAAAAGTGTCATGCTTCTGAATCTAGGGGAGAGCCTTTAACGATCGTAGTCAGTGTTTTCCAGGGAAACAGAACCAATGGTATGTATATAGCTCGAGTCCAAAGGTAGAATTGCCTCTTCCTTTGTCTAAGGACCTTCAATAGATTGGACGAGGCCCACCTACGTTGTGGAGGACAGTCTGTCGATTTTCATGTTAGTTTTATCTAGAAAAATACCTTCACAGAAGACATGTAATGTTTGACTAAATACCTGAGTGCTGTGGCCCAGCCAAGTCGAAACATTAAAATTAACCGTCACACTGGTGAAGACAGTGTATTTGCTTATGATTTTGGTAGTAATAGTGGAATGTCTGTGTAATTACCAAATGGTGCATATGACTGAATTCTTTCCTCAGTGAGGTTTGGGAACCAGCCTTTGCCTTTGCTGAGAAGAAAGCCTGATCCTGTACACAGGATGAATCACAAGGACTTTTGCCTAAAGATCAAAAGAAGATAGGTAATTGATTGTCTATTTGAAGAAAAACGTAACGCTAAAAAGATGCCTGTATTCTCAAGGGGAAATGTAGTCACCTCCACCAGCCATTTTCCCAAAGAGGGCCGGGTGGGTGTAGTGCACATTCCCGGGGATTATGGACAGGTCTGGAAGGTCACTTGCTTTGGGTTGGAATGTTGTTAGTAGTTACCAGTTACAGACCCAATGGTGCCGTGGTAAGCTTTAGTCTCTCCGCTGCGTTTTCCATTGCAGAGTCTTTTATTTATGTGTTTATTTTTCCGTGGTGTAGATTAGTTCCTCACTTAGGGCAGTATTGAATAGCTCTCGGCTCTCTCCTTTCTCTCTGCATCCAGTGTAAGGTAGCTTGTTCCAAGTGTTACCCTTTTGATCAGCGAGCATCTTCTACTGTACACATCCGCTCCGGCCCCTTTTCAGAGTGGGGTTGACGCTGCTGTCAGAGCAGGTAGCAGGTATGTACTGTTCTAGTCCTGTGTGTCCTGCAGTAGATATATTCAAGGCCTACTTTTGGCCCCGTGCTGAAACTTCCCTCAGCGTTCCTTGGTTATCTGAAGCTCTGTCCTGTGCCTTCTTCAGGAAGCGTCTGTGAGAACAGTATTCCCCGAGTTCTTACATGCGCACACGGTGTTATCTGTGGCCTTCTACTTGGAGGTCAGTATAGATTTCTTGGCTGATTATAAACCTCTTAGCTCACATTTTCTTTCCTGAGAACCTTAAGTTTGTCACTCCGTTGTCTGGTGACACACAGTGTCACTGTCGCATTCCGATTTTCTTTTTTTTACACATGGTATGGTTCTTTTGCCTGAATGCCCAAGAATTGTTATTTTCTTTAAAGTCCGTTTGTTTCACTAGAATGTCTTAGTGTCAGTAGTTCTGGGTCAGTTTTTCCAGGGGTACATTTGTACATTTAAGTCTTTTATTTCAGGAAATTTTTTTGAATTATTTGAGTCTTCTGTTTCTTTGATTTTAGTTTTTGGGTAATTCTGTTACATAGAAGTTGGAATTTCATATCTGTCACCGTCTCTTGATTCTTTATTTTTTGCCCCGTCTGTCTCTTTATCATCAATTTCCCTTTCATACCCCAGGGCGTCTATTTCTTCTCATGTTCCTCTAGTTTAGTCTTCATTTCTGACAAGTTCTAAGATTCCTCCTTGTTTCCTGACAGTCTGTTTTTCTCACGTCTTCTCTTGTGCAGCTCTTGGTTCTTGGCTCTTCTGTTCTGATGTCAGCTCCTCTTCCACGGCCTCTGTGCGTAATGTCAGGTGGTGGTTTCCATCTACCTTATGGGGCGAATGTTTTGGTCTGCCTGCACTGCCCGTCTGTGCGTCGTGCGTTGTCGTGATTGTTACATATCGTCCTCTGTTGTGGTCACCGTGATCCTCTCCTGAGATCCTGTACAGGAAGAGGGTGAGACCGTTCCAGGACAGCTATCCTCGATGCAGAGCTCGAAGCTCCTCGGTTTTCCTGTGGCACACTTAAAATAAGGCCTCTCTGTGCGGTCTGTCTCATCACACCTTGTGAGGCCAGCCTCCTTTGGGCCCTGCCCTGTTGGCGTCTGCCCTGTCTTTCCTTTTCCCTGCGCCCGCCTGTCAGGTAGGCTGTTGTTCGCAGGGTCCGCAGTGCAGGCCCTGCCTTCCTGGAAGGCAGTGTGCTGGGTGTCTGCAGAGCTTGAGCCCTGGTCTCCTCACGGTGAGCCCTCGTCCAGTCGGACTGGAGAAGTTTTCCTCCTGGGTGTGCTCTAGACCGTGTGCCCCATCCTGCTTAGGGGGGAAGACCTGCCTCAGCTAATCCAGGCCTTGTCGAGGCAGCCCTAATACTTTGCTGTAACGTGTTTTCTCTGTCTCACAAACCCTCTGAATTTACCAAGCTGGTCTATTTAAAATATATACAATTATAGTTTAAATATTTTAGCCTACAAAAAATTGTTTTTTTAAAAAGCTTATTTGTGTTTATGCCAGTTGTTCACTAGTTTTATTCATGGTGTACCGAATGAGAGCTTTATGCCCCTAAACGTGTGGGAAGGGAATTTCTAAATCTTCATTTTTGGCGTCTAGCAGCGTCCGTGTGCCAGCGTGTCTTTGGCCTGCAGCTTGCATTCAAGCCAAGGCTTGTGCCTTGTCTTTGGATTTCTAGGTGAAACGAACATACTGTCCTGATATCGAGAGCCAGGTGTATTATTTGTAAACATTATATGTAGTGTTCAGTTGTTAATAATCTGGAAAGAATGTAGTTTGGTGTTGCCACAGTACTTTTTAATATTATATTAAGTATTTGTCACAGATTTAAGTGTGTAAGATTACATGTTTTCTAGAGAAGTAATGATGGTATAATGCATGGATGTAAGCCAGCCGGAACTCCAGTTTAAGGAAAAGTTAAATGCCTAGTTTATTCTTATTATTTAAGCCAGTGGGGGCAGAATTATGTGGGCGTTAGAATGGGTGAGATCAAATAGTTGTGTTCTTTTTGATTAGAAATGAATTCATATTCTGTAAAGCCATGTGCATGTGTAATTGCTCCATGTGGTCACCCCTCCTCTTTGGTTAACTTGGATAATTATGAGTTGCCTGAATTAAGGGAAGCTCAGAAGCTGAAAAACTGATGCTTAATGTTGGAGCTTAAGTTGCTCCTGACGAGTCATGTTTTTCTGCCTGGCCACAGTTGGCGTGCACAAGACACTCCTGTAGCCAACACACTGTGTGCACACACGGTGACAGGGAAGGCCCCACCTGTGAGCCCCCCTGCATGGCTGTGGGACTGGGAGATGGCCACCCGGAGCCACCCGAACCCGGGGTAGCAGCCTTAGCCAGCACAGGCCCGGGTTCATCTGTGGTGAAAGCATGCTAGCTAGCTGTAGTGTGTTGCTTCTAGGAGTGCATACTTTTGAGATGATACCTTACGTGTGTATATGTGTGAATGCAGAAAACATCGGAGCAGTGTGGGGCCGAGCAAACCTGTGTCCCAGCCCCGGCGGAACATCGTAGGCTGCAGGATTCAGCATGGGTGGAGAGAGGGGAATGGCCCTGTCACCCAGTGGAAAGGAACCGTTCTGGACCAGGTGCCTGTAAATCCTTCTTTGTATCTTATAAAATACGATGGATTTGACTGTGTTTATGGACTAGAACTTAATAAAGATGAAAGAGTGTCTGCGCTCGAAGTCCTCCCTGATAGAGTTGGTAAGTCCTCTTTACTGTTTGTGCGTTATATGCTGTTTTAAAAGTGATTATTGAAATGGATGCTTTTTGATGATTCTTTTGCATTATTGGTACTTCTATTTTTATGTTTATTGGAGTGAAGCAGTCCTTATATACATTTAAATCAGTCACCTAAAACCACAGAAATTGATCAGCAGATGTTTTAAAACCACAGTTCAAGGAACTGTGAGGGATAGAAAGATGTATAAAATTGTTCCTCAAGAAGTTTACAGTCTAATAATTTCTAACATGGTTATTTCTCACCTTTTGTTTACTATTTACCTGGTCTCTGATTCTCTGATGGGTAAGAATATTTCTCATTAGCTCAGATATCTTATGTGCTCATTTCATCAGATTATAATAGCTAATGAAAATCTTATGCATTAATTTTAGAATCTTTATGTGAAGTGTTTTTCATTGTATATTATTACATGAATAGTAGTTGTTCTTTCAGCCAAAATGTAAGCAATCAAAACGTGAGCTTTAGTATACATTCCTCAGGGTTAGTTTGCACACTGTTTGTGGAAATGAGTAGCTGTTTTTGTAAATGTCACGTGAATCAGTTTTGCCTTGCATGACTTAAATGCCTTAAGGCGTAAGGTGTCAGTTAAATAATAATGACTGATTTTATTTTTGAGAATAAAATAGAATGTGATTTTATTTTTACATCAGTAGGGTGCACCCAGATTAACGTGCCTGTCTTCCGAGTCTTTTCTCTGCAATGGTCTCCTGCTGTGACAGTGGTGCTGCTGGCGCTTGAGTCCTGGTTCAGGCTTTTGGAGTTGTCAACAAACACAGCCTCAGCACACTTGAGCGGGGTGGGGGGGCATCTCTGGGATCAGACGGTCGTGGGAGGAAGCTTACCCCGTCCCCAGTTCTGCGCCCCTTTGTGCCGTGTGTTCCTGGGACACGCGCGCCTCACCGGCAGGTTGATTCTTTGCCAGAGCAGCACGTGTTCTGCTCATCTTTCCTTTAGATACCAAATGCCCAGTCTGTATTTATCCTGTATAAACACAGTTCCTTTTTCACAGAAGTCTTTCTTCAAATTTAAGTCTGTATTATTATTCCCAAAGGTAACTAATTGTGTAATAGTAAATCTGGCATTTTTAACGTTTTTATCAGTTCTGAGTGCAAGTGACACCTCGTTCTTTCTCATGAGGCACGTCCTGTTTCCTCTTGATCTTGACATCGTCTGTTCCTACATAAGAAACTAACATTGAAGAGTCTGTCCTTTAGGGCTTAAAAATATTATCCAAACGTTTATATCAGTTATTTGTAGTAAGTAATGATCATGCATTCTTTTTCTGACCCAGAATTTTAGTCTCTGCCCCTTCTAGGGCAAGACTAAGCGTTCATTTGAAATGGACTGCATTTTGCTGCATGACCCGTGTTAGTCAGGGTTTTTGTCATCATAGGACAGAAAAAGATAGTTTTATCTTGATAAAAAAATGATTTGACCAAACTGATTTGACCAAACTAAAATGTCCCCAGATATGTAAGTATCTCTGGTGATGGGACTGAGAGTTAGTTACTTAACGTGTTTCTTTCTAGTTCCAGGGCATCTCAGTTTCCAACAGCAGACGTGGATTCCTTTTGTAAACAGCAAAGCAGTTTAAAAAAAGAAATCCAGAGGCCCCTATGCAGACCAGCAATATATCACGTGCCTAATTTAACTAGTTATACATTCCCTATGATACTGTAGTCTGAGAAACTGTTTAGCCTTCCCGTATGCTCTGTGTAGGAAGACAACAGCCTTTCCTGACGTGCTTCAGGCAGCACATTAGGCTGCAGGCACAGTTTGGTCTTCCTGCACCTGAAGGTGGAGAAGAAAGGCAGTCAGTCAGCCTGAAAGTGTGTCATGACACAGAGCAGTGCTTCCCAAGGTGTGGTCTCGGGACCCCGAGGTTCCTGGAAGCCCATCCAGGGGCTTCGTGAGGTCACAGTTATTTTCATAATAACGTCAAGACGTAATTTGCCCTCTCCACTAGTCCTTTCCCAGTTACACACTAGCGTTTCCCACTACTCGGAAGATCTGCGTAACTCAGCAAATACAATATTTTCTATCTGAACAGTGCATGATGTTATGAAATCATGTGCTGATGAAAGGTCCGTTCAAAGACTGACAGCATTTCTGTTTTGTTGTGGTAAAAAAAGCACACAACACAAAATTAACTACGGAACCATTTTTAAGTGTACAGTTCAGTAGTGTTAAGTATGTTCACATTGCTGTGAAACAGATCTCCAGAAGTTTTTCGTCTTGCAAATCTGAAATTCTATCCCCATTAAAGAACTCCCCTTTCCCCCCTCCCCCCAGCCCCTGGTACCCAATATTCTACTTTCTGTTTCTATAAATTTGATTAGATACCTTATAAGTGGAATCATACAATATTTCTCTTTTTGTGACTGACTTCTTTCTCTTAGTAATGTCCTCAAGATTCATCCATGTTGTAGCATGTGACAGGATTTCCTTCCTTTTTAAGGCTGAATGATACTCCATTGCATGTATCGCATTTTGTTTATCCATTCGTCTGTGGATGGACATTTGGGTTGCTTCCACCTTTTGGCTCTTGTGAATAATGCTCCTGTGAGCATGGGTGTGCACATAACTCTTTGGGACCCTGTTTCAATTCTTTTGGGTATATACCCAGAAGTGGAATTGCTGGATCATATGGTACGTTTATTTTCTGAGGAACCTACATGCTATTTTCTGTAGTGTTTGTAACATTCTACATTCCCACCAACAGTGCACAAGGGTTCCAGTTTCTCCACATCCTCACCAACACTTGTCATTTTTTGTTGGTTTTGATTTGCATTTCTCTTATGATTAGTGATGTTCAGCCTCTTTCCATATGCTTTTTGGCCATTTGTTTGTCGTCTTTGCAGAAACCTCTATTCAAGTCCTTTGCCCATTTTTTGATCAGATTATTTGATTTTTTTTGTTGTTGTTGAGTTGTAGGAGTTCTTTATATATTCTGGATACAAATGAGTTTTAATTTAAGTGTAACAAGTTTATCGGTAATAATTTCAGATTCTTCATTGCGGTTAACCATTAAGGAGCTACCTACCGCTTGTTGAGTTTTGACGTAGCGTCATCGAAGAATATCTGAAATAATCTGAAAAGACTAATAGAATACTCCTCTTTTTCAACAGCATCTCTTTGTGAGGCTGGATTTTATACATTAACCAGAACAACATGTAACAGACTGAATGCTGAAGCAGATATGAGAATCTAGCTGTCCTTTTGTAAAGCGAGACATTAAGAGATACAAAAATGTGAAATTATGGCACTCTTCTTACTAAATTTTCGTTAGAAAATATAGTTATTTTTTAAATTAAAAATACGTTGTTTATGTAGGTTTATTTGTTTGTTTATTTATTTAGTGAGGAAGATCAGCCCTGAGCTAATGTCCGTGCTAATCCTCCTCTTTTTGCTGAGGAAGACCGGCTCTGAGCTGACATCTATTGCCAATTCTCCTCCTTTTTTTTTTCCCCAAAGCCCCAGTAGATAGTTGTATGTCATAGTTGTACATCCTTCTAGTTGCTGTATGTGGGACGCCGCCTCAGCATGGCCGGAGAAGCAGTGCGTCGGTGCGCGCCCGGGATCTGAACCCGGGCCGCCAGTAGCGGAGCACGCACACTTAACCGCTAAGCCATGGGGCCGGCCCTATGTAGATATTTTTAAATAAACATTTTTAGATATGTCATTTATAATTTCTAAAATAGTAGATAGTAATAGTTATCATCCGTATATAAACAAATGCTCTTTTAGGTCCTCAGAATTTTTAAGAATGTAAGAGTCCTGAGATCAAAAGTTGAGAACTTCTGGTGTGAAGAAACTAGTAGGATTTTGTTTTTGTTTTGTTTTCGTGTCGTGTTTTCATGCACAGTGGGAATTCTATGTAATTTTTGATAGTTATTGCATACTTAAACAAAGTCATCGTATGTGTTAAGAGTGTTCTTCTGTTAAAGTTGGATAGCACCATCTTGACCGCAGTTGGTATTCACATTAGGAAATGAGAGCACTGGAGTATTTTAAGCAGGTGAACAACACAATCTGGTGTAACTGCCCCAAAGATCACTCTGGTTGCTCTGGAAAACAGACCTTAGGGGCCAGAGTCCACACCTCTGCCTTGCGTAGGTTAATTTCTTAGTTTTAATAAATGGTCTGTGGTTGTGTAAGATGCTAATACAGAGGGAAGGTGGTAAAGGGTGTATGGGAACGCTACTATTTTTGCAACTCTTCTGTAAGTGTAATTATCTCGAAATTTAAAATAACCAATAAACAATAACAAAAAACACTTTATACCTCTGTTTATTGTTATAACATTGGTTCATAACATTATATAAATTTCAGGTGTATATCATTATATTTCGATTTCTGTATAGATTACATCATGTTTACTGCCCAAAAATTAATTATAGTCCATCACCACACACATGTGCCTAATCATCCCTTTTGCTCCCTTCCTCCCCCCCACTTTATACCTTGAACAGTTAAAAGCTAATTTAGGTACAATACTGAGAGCAGATGAGTTCAGAAAAAGAAAAAGAAAAAAAAGCAGGTTCTCTCAATAACTGACTTGGGAGAAAATGGTTCCTGTGGAATCAGATCTGGGCCTAGCAGTTAAGTTTGGTGCTTCTCTTTCTTAAAGCCACCAGGTGGTTCTGATGCTCCACAGTGTGTTACTGTGTGGACGACATCTCAGGTTGTCTCCTTAAATGAGGTCAGTGAAACCCTTTGTCAACCATTGCTTGTCTTTTTGTCCCCAGCGACCTCTCGAATCAGCGACGCACACCTGGCCGACACAATGATTGGCAAAGCAGTGGAGCACATGTTTGAGACCGAGGATGGCTCTAAAGACGAGTGGAGGGGAATGGTCTTGGCTCGCGCCCCTATAATGAACACGTGGTTTTACATCACCTATGAGAAGGATCCTGTCTTGTACATGTACCAGCTCTTAGACGATTATAAAGAAGGCGACCTTCGCATTATGCCTGATTCCAGTAAGTGTATATTGACAACTGTAATTTTCGATAATTCAAAAGGAATTTGAATTTTAGAACAAGATATTTGATTAATTATTTTGCAGATACATTTTGTATTTTAGTTGTTAGGAATAAGTGGTTATTGTTTTAGTCATGTGAGATTTTTCACTCTTTTGCCAAGAATAATTTACCTTCTGTATAGATTTCCCTGCTCTGGACTTGGAACTTTCATCGGAATGGAGTGTGTGATACGGACGGGGTCCTTTGTCACCAGCTCCTTTCACTTGGGGCTCATTCGTGTTGCAGTGCGTGTGGGTACTTCATACAGCCCTGCTGTGTGGAGAGCCCGTGTTTGTGTTTTCAGTCATCCGTTGGTGGCCATTGGGTGGTTCTCTGGCTTTTGCTTGTTATGAAGATGCTGCTGTAAACGTGTGTAGAAGGTTCTGCGTGCATGTGTGTCCAGTTCTTTTGGGTGTATCCCTGGAGTGGGTCAGAGGGCTCACTCTGTGTAGCTAGGGACTGCCAGACTGATTTCCAAAGTGGCTGCACCGTTACAGGTGCTCAGCAGCAGCGTCTGAGTGTTCTGACTCCCCATGTCCTTACGACACACATTGAACCTGACGTTTTCATTCCCACCGTCCTAGTGGTTGTGAAGTGGTAGCTCATGTGGTTCTGGTTTGCATTTCCTTGGTGATGAAAGATGGTGAGTGTCTTTTCGTCTGTTACTGGCTGTGTCTGTATACCTACCTTGGAGAAATGTCAATTCATGTCCCTTGCCCATTTTTCAGTTGGGTTGTCTTTCTGTTATTGAGTTGGCAGAGTCAGTATCTAGGTACAAGTCTCCTGTCAGATGTGTGATTTGGAGATATTTTCTCCCTTCTGTGGGTAGTCTTTTCACCTTCTGAATTGTGTTCTTGGAAGCACAAAAGTTGTTAATTTTGATGAAGTCCAGTTTATCTGTTTTTTGTTGCTGGTGCTTTTGGTGTCGTATCTAATGACCCATTGCCAAATGCAAGGTCCTGAAGGTTTACCCTGTTTTCTTCTAAGCGTCTTAACAGTTTTAGAAAATGGAAAAAGAAACAGTTTTAAAAAATGGAAAGACTCTTCTTTTGCCAGTTGAGTGGTTTTGGCACCCTTGTAGAAAATCAGTTGACTATGGACTGGGTGTATTTTTCAACTTTCAGTTCTGTTCCATTTGTATGTCTGTGGTTATGCTGGTGGCACACTTGATTACATTGCTTTGTGATAAGTTGTGAAGTCGGGAGGTGTGAATCCTCTTACTTTGTTGTTTTTCACAATTGTTTTGGCTGTTCTGGATCCCTTGCAATTCTGTATGAATTTTGGAACCAGCCTGCCAATTTCTGCAAAGAAGTCAGCTTGGGATTCTGATAGGGATTGTGTTGAATCTCTAGATCAGTTTGGAGAGTGTTGCCATCTTGACAGTGGTAAGCTTTTTGATTCATGAGCATGGGATGTTTTTCCATTTATTGAGGTTTTTTTTTTTATTTCTAGCAACAATGTCTTATAGTTTTCAGAGTGTAAATTTTGTGCTTCTTTTGTTAAATTTATTCCGAAGTATTTTATTCTTTTTGATGCTGTTGTCAATCGGATTATTTTCTTAATTCCATTTTTGGGTAAGCATGTTCTTTTTTAAACTATTCCATAGCTTTTCCTCAAACACGTGGATCCCTGGCCCTGGACAGATGTGCCTGACAGACACGCAATATATAAGCAGTGTGACAGCATCTCTATTCCTTTTTTTTTAGTTCTTCTTGAGAACAAGTCAGTCTATGAACCTGCTCGTGTGCTCGTCTTGCCGTCTTCTTAGATACATTTTTTTAAAGTTTGTGTACATTTGTTATAAATGTGTAATGGAAAGTATTTATATAATAGGCAAGAATTTAATTATCATGATGGCATTCCTTAAAAGCATTTCTCTGGGGCCGGCCCAGTGGAGCAAGCTGTTAAGTGCACGCGGTCCGCTGCGGCGGCCCAGGGTTCACCGATTCAGATCCCGGGCACACACCGACGCACTGCTTGTCGAGCCATGCTGTGGCGCATCCCATATAAAGTGGAGGAAGATGGGCACAGATGTTAGCTCAGGGCCAGTCTTCCTCAGAAAAAAGAGGAAGATTGGCATCAGATGTTAGCTCAGGGCTGATCTTCCTCACACACACACACAAAAAAGCATTTCTGTAACCTGTATGAAGTTGATTTTCAGCTTTCCTGTAGAGAAATATCCCATCAAAGTAAGGACTGTTGACTTGATCATACAAAGTGTGAGGTCATTTGCACATTGCCCATCGCCTCTCCCAACCGTGTTTTTTCCCTCTCACTCCTTTCTTTCTCCAAACTGCTACGTATTGTGTGAGTGGTATGGAAGTGTATCCGCCACTAGAGACAGTGGTGATGCTCTGATAGACAGGTTCTGCGATGGCCTCTGTGTCTCTTGCTTCTTTGCTCACATTACTGTGAAACGTACAGCTGTCAGGTATTTGGAACACCTTTGTTAACATGACGCGCCATGAAAGTGTGCAGTGTGATGCTGCTGCTCGAGGGAACAGTGCTTTTGAAGAAGAGCGTGTAGCTTAGGTTTCCTCTTCACTTCCCTGCTTAAAAGAACTGATAACACCGTGCTCAGGCATTGTATTTGTGTTGTGTGTGACTGTTAGTACCAGAGATCAGGATAGCAGGTTTTGGATTGTGTCATTCAGTGAGAGTTAACTGTAATCAGAGAGGCAAACTGCCGTTGACATAAAGTACATGCTATGGTCCAAACCAGGATACGTGTGGGAATAAAGTGGTGCCCTGCTAACCTTGTGCCAGGATGAGGGGCATGCACGTGTGCCGTCTTCCGCAAGCGGGGATATCCGGTCGCCCCCCTGAGGGCCCTCTGCCCCTGTGTGGAAGAGAGCTTGCGTGTCTCAGGGCCCACGCAGGGTTTCTGGAATGGAACTGCAGCTGCGTGGCTCTGTCCCCCCTGCTCTTCTGCTTTGTTTTCGTGGTGGTGCTGGTTTGCTCTCATTTGATGGGTGATCCTGCACGTCGGGCTTCCTGCTGGGTCCTCGGGCAGTGCTTCCCAACACTCACATGTTCCTGGGGACCTTTTACAAAGGACAGGTGCTTTGGCCGTCCTTGGCGATCCCGTTGTAATTGGGCTGGGGATGGAGTTCACTGGGCACCGTTGTGTAAAGCACGGGAAGTCTCTTGGTTCTGAAACTGGGTTAGGAAGACGATGTGTAATGCAGTGAAGTTGAGGAGAAAGAAGCTTTAAGGCTTCACAGGTAAGACTAGGAATGCTTAGACATTGTAAGTGCCTAGCATGTTCTCAGTCACCCCAGTGAGTGTTGTCTGCTTTGAAATCCTATTTCAAAGTAACTCAAGAGTTATTTTTAAGAAGTTAAATAATTTAGATTTTTTCCTTGGCCCTTTCCTTCTTTTAGTCCTCACCTCGTCAGGTAATTACAGCTATAATTAAACATGAGCCAAAAGAATTTCTGGTCATGATTTTCAAAATCGTGTACATGTCCAGGTCTTGGGGGTGGGCACACTGTTTTTGTAATGAAGTTGTGTTGTCGCACAGCCACACCATTCATTTATGTATCATCTGTGGCTGCTCTCAGCTGACGATGGCAGAGCTGAGTAGCTGGTGCAGAGACCACGTGGCCTCGAGCCTAGCTTATTGTCTGGCCCTTGAAGAAAGAGTCTGCTGATTCTTGGTCTAGATAATCAAGATGAATTCAGGATATTAAAAACATTTTTAGTTATTATTAAAATAGACATGTGAGTTGGTGTGTATCTAAAAATTGACTTTAAATTCTTTTTTTTCCCCTCCCTTTAAATACAGATGATTCACCTCCAGCAGAAAGGGAACCAGGAGAAGTTGTGGACAGCCTGGTAGGCAAACAAGTGGAATATGCCAAAGAAGATGGCTCCAAGAGGACTGGCATGGTCATTCACCAAGTAGAAGCCAAACCGTCTGTCTATTTCATCAAGTTTGATGATGATTTCCATATTTATGTCTACGATTTGGTGAAAACATCCTAGATGTCATCATGAACTTTGCCAAATTTGTGGAACTATTAAATGTATAATTTGTAGACATAAAGACTCGATCGCTTTCCAGTTTAATGAAAGCTTAAATGTCCCTGCGAACCCACAATCTCTGCCAGCAGAACTGGTTTTGTTCTGAATAGTACAGATTTATGTGACCACAAAGCATTTTGTGTGAGGAACTCCTTCCTCTTAAAGGAAGTCTGTCTGTCTGGAGGGGAGTTACAGGCAAGTTTGGTCAAAGTTAAGCTAGTATCATAGTCATTTAAAACTGTAATGGATCTTATCCATTTTCCCCTTCACTCTTAACACTCTCTTCTTAGTCTGCTGCCACAATGCAAGCATAGTTTGGTATTTTTGTTATTGCCTTTTTTGAGATATATATGTATCTATATCTACCTACCTATCTATATCTGTGTGTATATATATGTAATGTATATACACACACATAGATCTGTGCGCGTGCACACACACACACACACACGTCATTGGCAGTCCTTTCTTTGTGGATTGGGACAGGGGCTAAATAATTTTCTCCAGTTTAACAGGAGTGCTTGACCCAAGTCAGTCATATTAGTATATTACTGCTGTTTATTTAAAATTAAATTTGGGCACAGGAAGCACATAGGGATGTTCAGCTTGTTTGAAAATCAGAAGTTCAGAGCACCTTTCAATCTGGAGGCTTTAAACCAAAAGTCGAAACATGAATCACTTGTGAACAGTTAATGACCCACCTTAGAATTTTACAAAACAGTTAGAAATCTGGGTAAAAGGCTGCCTTTAATTCTAAGCTTTGTAAATTTTTTTGTTTACTTTTTTTTTTTTTTGGTCATAAATACTTGTTTTGGAAAGCCCAGGTGCTTGGTCCACACAGTGTAGTGCAGGTGTGTTCTGGACAGCACATTTGGTCCATGATTTGCACACATCAGTCATCTGGAGTTTCACACACAGATTTAAAGGCAGCAGAACACCAGTGGTCTGTGTGTGTGTGGTAAGTTCCGGGAAGAGCATGGTGTGTTTATATTAGAAATGTCCGTTTCAGTGGCATGTTGCCTTCTAACAAGTTCTCTGGGACACTTTTATTCTTATTGCATTATTACTGATGTATGAATGGTCAGAAGGCTTTTCCCCACAGAGAGAGTCGAGGCAGGTAGCAGCTGAGGTCTGATGCCTCTGGTGCGGTCTGCTCTTGCTCAGGTGTGCTGTCCATGTGGGTGCGTTCATTCAGTGGACCTGCCACAGGTCCACTGTGGACCGGGCCGTCACATGTGCCAGCTTGTGGGTGTGACTGCTGGCAGCCCTTAGCCCCCACGTCCTTTCGTGGTTTATACCTGCAAGATGGTTGTAACTGAAATGGAACTGCCAAAGTGGTTGGTTTAGCAGCGAAACAGCCATCTGTCCCTTTGTTTTGGGTAAGCTTGGTGGTCTGAAAGCAAGGAGAAAGGCAGTATGTGAGACCAGTCTCTGGAGATCATACCTGAGATGTGGGCATAAGGCTGAATGCATGTGCTGTCAGTCAGACCCCGCAGGGCCGGGCACGTCTGTCAGGGCCGTTCTTGATGTTAGAGGTTCTGTAGTGTCAAGGCCTCGCTCTGCGTGGTTTGCGAGATGCCAGGTTTCGCCTTCAGGAAGGCTGTGCCTTGTCGTGTTGGATGTAACCCTGCACACCGTGTAAATACAGCACCCTGTTCTCTGCAGTGTGCACAGTGCCTCACCGCGGGCAGCCAGGGGCGAGCTTCTCCACGCAGCCAGTCCCCAGGTCTTAGACTCTCCTCCTTGCTTGAACAGCGTCCTGCTGCAGATCTGTCCCGTTTTCCTGGTGGTTCTTGTAAGTGTCCCTGCGTGTGAACCTCAAGGCCGAGCCCAAGCGGATGTGTGCGGCCCAGAGGGGGAGTGTGTCTAGCGCGTTTCTTGCACACACACAGCACAGTGACTTCGGGCTGAAAACAGAGTCCTTTGGCAATCCAGAGGTTGGGTCAGGTGACACATTTCCAGCATTACTTAATGACTTGCATTGTGGTTTTCCTGCAAGTACCTTTAGCAACTTTAATACCACATGATCTGCCACTCTAGATGAATGTGACATGGGATTATTATTCATATTATTATTTTGATCATCATTCCATTTATTGTCTTTAGGGCTGAAGGAAGGGGAAGGGGGTTTTTTTTTTGTTTTTCCATTTTTTTTCCATTCTTTTGTCTTTTGGTGGCTTAAACCACACTTAATGATGCTGTGACTACTTCTGCTCCCTAGCCAAGTGTTTCAGGCTTCGTTTTAGGCTCATGTTTCAGATCTGCATGCGTTGCTTGCATTTTCCTGGTATCTGAATGTTGGTTCCTTGTTCTAGGAATCCAACATCAATTTCCAAAATTATCATGGGACTTGTGACAACACAAGACATGAATCTCTGTGTAAAATGTAACGGCCTTTCTCATGACCTGCTATAGTATTATTGTGTCGTGTGTGCGTGTGTGATGTCCGGCTGCCACATAACCTTCAGAGGAGAACCTTCCAGGAGACCATCCTTTTGCATGCTCTATTCTAGTAGAATGTCCAATGTAACTAACTAAACTGCATGTTAAAGATATTTAGGTTTTTTGTTTTCTCTCTTTGTTTTTGTTTTCAGTTTTCTGTATATTTGCTTACTGTGCTGTTTTAGTGGTTGTAGGATAAATGCACTGGTGAAGCAATGTAGTGCCCACGAAGGTGATTTTCCAGTGTCTCTTGTGCAGCATTTGAAGGGACTGTGCATTCTTACAACAGTCACAGTTACTTCTAAACCAGATTTCATTTCTGTTGTTGTTTCACGTGCCAAACCCCGAAGTGCATTGGGCTTGACTCTCTGAACGCTGTGGACCCATTAGAAGACTGTTTTGATTGTCACAAATTGTAGTGCCTGAAAACATTCTTAAGCTGATTGTCTTAAAAAAAAAAAAAGAAAGTTCTCCAAAGACAAAACAGGAACAATTATTATAGCAAAACATCGATGGTCGAAATGTCTGTGGTTCCTTGGAAATGCTGCACTTTTTGTATTTTCCATCATTAGTGCAGTTTGAACGAATGTGTCTAGTTCAGAGGTCTTCGTGTTCGCATTTTAAAATTAGGTAAATGACCTCATCTCTCAAGCTTGAATTTGTTTTTAATTTTATTTTATACAGTGTGTAGACGGTCCCCTGTTCTCTGCATTTAGAAGTATAAACAATATAAATCTGTTAATTCTGTAAGTAATTTTTATAATTATGATGTAACTCTATCCTATCCTTAAAACATTTAAAATAAACCCTTTATGTGCAACTTTTGACTGTAAATTTTGTGCTCATGAGCAAAATGTGATGTGTTAAACCTGCTTCTGAAAACAGTTTCTAAAGTTTTACTTTATTTAAATGACCTTTTTCCCCCTTTCACCACATGTAAACGTCAGATATACATAGAAACAGAAAGAAAGAATTTTATGTGAGTGACTAATACCTGAAAGGAGACGGCAGTCGATGTCCCAGGTGTGCTATACAGCACAGAATAGTAAAGCTCGCCATTGACCGTTAATGAGCAACTTGAATTGATCATAACATTTTAAGCTTAAAAGAATTGTTTTCAATAGAATTAAATCATGTGTATTTTATACTTTCACATCTATTCTTGCTTTGTATATTGCCTGTAATGCTTTTATTAATACTTAAGTACCGGTCAGTGCAATTCTGCAGTGAAAACCTCCATTTCTCAATGGTAAGGGCAAAGACCTGTAAGTAATGCTGTGACCTGTGTGTGGTCTGTGTTTTGTCTTCCTGGGTGATTTTAACCAGTGAGGTAAAAAGTAGAGTTTATGATATGCCTTTAATTAGATTCGTTCTTCTCTTTCCCTGGGGCCTTTGGCCCATGGATCCCACGTTCAAGGGTAGGACAGGACAGGTCACCTCTGCCGCCTGCCAGAGCATGGCCAAGGGAGGCTTGTCTTGCACAGTGGCTGCTATGGCCGAGGTGATGGCCCAGGACCTGGCCCGGGGGACGCAGGGCCCCTTCTCCGGCCCTAGTGGGAGGAGCTGCAGGCAAGTGTGGGGAGGAGATGGACCGGGGAGCACAGGCGTCACCTGAGCCAGGTCTTAGAGTCTTCTTCCTGACGGTCAGTCAGTTGCTGTGCGGTTGAAGGTAGGCTCAAGCAATGCTTGCCCCCAGAGGTAACACAGCAAGTTTCGTCTGAAGGTTGGCGGTTGCTGACTGCTGTGTGTAAACTGCTGAATCGTGTCTGTTTGAGGGAATCGTCACTGTGGAGAACTGCAGGGGTGGGCTGCCTCTCCGTTGTTCTCTTAGTATAGTCACGGCAAAGCCCTTGACACTCACACAGCACTCGAAAGTGCTTCGTAAGGACCTTGCCAAGCACTTTCCACCCATTATTTCATTTAGTTCTTCATCCCGTGAGGAAGGCATGACTTTTCTCCGTGTTGTCCAGATGAGGAAGGCATGGGGGTTGAGCCTCTGGTCCAGGACTAGAGAGGCCGTCAGGACCCGGGCCCTCAGCGTGCATGCAGGCTCCAAGCTGCTGTGTTCACGCCTCAGAATTGAACCACTGCATTGGAGTGATCTGAATAATCTATAATTAATCATTTCTGTGGATAATTTTTTGTAACCTTAGTTTATAAGTTGATAACAAAAAGTGTTTTCCTATTTACAAATTGTGTAATAAAAGGTTAGTCACTAGAATGTAGGAATCTCTGTCTTTAAGTAGTGAGATTTGGGAACCCAGAGTTATTTTTTTCCTGGAAAAACAAATATCTTTTATTTTGTAATTTTATTTATTTATTTTTTCCCCCAAAGCCCCAGTAGATAGTTGTATGTCATAGTTGTACATCCTTCTAGTTGCTGTATGTGGGACATGGCCTCAGCATGGCCGGAGAAGCGGTGTGTTGGTGCGCGCCTGGGATTGAACCCGGGCCACCAGCAGCGGACCACCAGCAGCGGACCACCAGCAGCGGAGCGCGCACACTTAACCGCTAAGCCACGGGGCCGGCCCGAATATCTTTTATTTTGGAGTGAAATTATGCTGAAGAAATTTGAATAATTTCATCGCAAGAATGTAGACACTATTTTATATTTCAAAGACATTTTAAACATGTCATTAAATTAATATTCTTTAAAAACCTGGACTTTGTATGCCCAGAGTACACAATCTAATACCTAGTTTTATGGTAATTGGCTTGTCCTATGTCATATATTTGTAAGTTTTTAGACTGCCGAGTTTCAGAGAATTAGGTGTCTTCAAATTATTTCTCCAGACATTCTTAGATAGTCTCTCTCTGCTTTTATATTGGCCACAAAACTTTCAGTTTTGGTAACTCAGTGGCAGATGGTGTTTGGGGATTGACTTGGCACAGCATTTTGCCTAAAAATGACCTTGCGTTCTTTCTGCTTAGTTTTCACGAGAGGGCACTGGACCCGGTGGCACGTTGACCTGCCAGCTCTGGCAGTGGTGACACTGAAGTATGGGGCCTTCCCACGCGTTTCTTTTTTACGCTGGCTGTTACCGGGA